TACTTTTTTTTGTAAATATCAATAAAAGAAAATAAGATAGGTATTGTTCGATCGAACAAAAAGCTAGAAACCCAAACAGGATTCCTTAAAAGAAAAAAAGAACTATTTAGGCATTACCTACTTTGATTTATTTTATGAACATTTCCGAATACCTTTGTAGATACACATTTATATAATATATTATATAACAATCAATTGTTATTTGTTAATTGTTATAACTGTAGTAGTGTGTAGTAGCATTGGTTATAGAATATTCTATAATCAATGGTAGTAGTGTAGTGATCGCTGCGCAGGACGCTACGATCTGTACCATAATAGGTAATTATTCAACGACGTAGCACGTTCGTTACAATCTTGAGACGTTGTTGAGAAAATGAGAAGAGATAGGTAGGTAATTAATAATTAATCATCACTTCGATTTATTATGTTTAATATAATTATACATGTTTATTATTATAATTTATAAGTATTAATAAAGTTATAACACTAGGCGCATAGACGCACACTCGTAAGCTCACAATACTTCGACTGATGCAACTGTCTCTCTAAAAAAGTGCTCTACCCGTATTTATGTGAGTTCTATCAATGACGTATGATCGCGTGATATGCCTATAGTCTAATATTACTTTTTTTACTGTAAAATTWGCATTCTTTAATGAATAGGTAAAAATAACTAATTATTGTTTTTACCTTTGATCCAGGCTTCCTGCAGATATATTTAAGTTATTTATGAATAATAACTACATTCTCTAATTATACATTTATACTAAATCATAGATTATATTGTATGCATAATTAAACATAACTTGACTATACTAGTGTTGGGTTTACTACATAAGACTTCCAAAAATGCAATACACTGATGCTCATAAGTTCATACTGAAACCAAAAAACTTTAAAAAATAATAAAAAAAAATTTTTCAATGACATAATGAAATGAATTGATTTTTTCTTGTAACATATTACAGAGATAACGTGGTTACTTTTTAGATGAAAAAGTAACTTCATTACTTTAATCAGTTTAATTTCTAAATAACAATTAAAGTAGGTAGGTAGGTAGCTTAACTAAAAGTAACTTACCTACCAACATTTAATTAACACAAATAGGTATTACATTGTCTTAATCAAGGACAAGATACACACTGTACAGCAGAACGGTTACTCTAACTTTACCCTCTTTTTATCAGGTTAATGTTTACAAACTAATAGGTAAATGTAATTTTACTCTTAATATTTTGATCAAAAATCAATGTTTGGTTTTTAACATTTATCAAACAAAACATATAGGTTGATTGGTTGATAATAGGTTTGCAATATTTCGTAAAGGAACAAATCTTTCCAAACACAATTCATTAGGTGATATAATAGCTGATAAAATCATAAACCGAAATACCTACTTAAATAAAACATATCAGCATTGCTGTACATTTTCAATAACCAAAATTATAATTAGATTTAGTTAACTAGAAAATTGTTTTTTTTTTTTTTTTAATTTTAATATGTTTATCGTTCAATATTATTTTTTATTAATTAGATAATAGGTATTCCCTATGTAAAATACAATATTTTAATATTTTACCCAATATTATTAATAAATAATATTTTTAATTCTAATTGAAACTAATATTATCAATTAATTTATCATTATCACCTGTTATGTGTAGTTACAAACTTACTTAAGCACCTAATAAAAAAAATAAAAAATAAAAATTACCTTTTGTTAAAACTTAAATGTCTAAATTCTATTTTTAATTACGTCTGTATTTGATTGACAATTGATAAGATATTCGGCGTTATTTTTAATTTATAATTACCTTCAACTTGATTAACTTTACCAAAAATTGAATGTTTAAATTATTATAGATCACACTAAAGCATTTTAGATAAGTAATTTGGTTACAACATCTTTGTGGTTTAATATTTATTTATTGGTGCCTCATAAGTTAGTCATAGGATTGAGTAATGAGTATATTATATTATATTATATTATATTATTAAGGTAAGTACTCAATAATTATAGATATTATTAAAATAATGTTTTTAAGGAGGATAATTCACAACGGTTACTGATTGAATATTTGTGTAAAAATACATTTTGTACCTACCAAACCAAAGCTTTTGAAATATAATTAATACCTCATAAATCATAATTAAATACATTTTTTTTTTGTCGTAATCGATCCCAACTATTGAAAATGTTACCTACCACATAAAAATGGGTCTACGACAAATGAGCGAAAGAAAAAGAGCGAACGTAAATGAGCGAATAAAAAAGAGCGAATACAAAATTAGCGAATAAAAATAWGAGCGAAAACATATAGAGCGAAAATATAATAGATTGCACATATAATAATATAAACTAAAATATTTCATATTTATTCATGTTTGTCATACTTATTGAATATTGAATTAATACATTTAAACTTGCAATGAAAAATTAGATAAATAATAATATAAAATAAAAAAWATAATAAACAATAAAAAATATAATAATAATATAATATAAAATATAAAATATTTGTTCATATTATTTGAAATACTTATTGAATTAATACATTAATTATACTTGTAATGAAAAATTATACGCGATACCTTTTAAATATTGAAGTGTCATATTGGGTCATTGATGTATTTTTCCTGCATTGAAGTTATAGTCTGCAGTTTTCGCCAAATACACTGACTGAGATGAAAAAAGCATCCAMGGTTTTCGATTTGTGGAAATACTTCTTTAAAAGCATTAATAGAGGCGTTTTCAAAATCAGTTAAAATAGATTTTGGGTTTAAACTATTTTTTTTTTCTTTTWATTTTTTTAATAAACTGACATAAGTAGATGATTTTTTATCGGGTAATAGTGCATATAATGTTGGTATACATCTATMATATTTTAATATGTGTATTGTATAGATTTGATTAAAAATAGGTGGAGCTGATTTGAAAGTACCATCAGAAAACCAGTGATCGGATTCCGACATCAGATCCAAACTATCGGATGTACAAAAAATTATAATTCGTTTGTTTGACAAACCATAGTCATCGATACTGTCATATAAAACAAATTGTTTACCATGAGTAGTCAATTTATATTCAATTGGCAATTGGTGTAAATCATCGAGAATTTGTGGATTAGGTGGAGCTAAKCAATTTCTTTGTCTCKTTCTTTGAATTGTACGTTTCAAGTGTGCGATCTGTGGAAGTGYACCAAAAACAATTGGAACTGTAGAAGAAGACGRCTCACTTATTATAACTGCAGGATTATCTTGAGTTTCAACGGCACGCTTTTTAATATTTTCGACTACTACTTTCGCTTGATTTTTAATTATATCAGCAACATGATTATGATCAGAAGGGCCTTTAATAATTTCGTCGTGTTTTAAATTCAAACGCCCTGTACATAGTTTGTCTATACATCGCCAATATTCAACATCTTTATGTATTTTTTYTTTTCTATATAAGAAACTATTTAACTGTAGTAAAAGTTTTCCTTGTTGTGACTGAATATACTGCATTTTACATACACAATCGAAAACACTATATAAATCGAACACACTAATATAAGAACTCCGGCGGACGACTAAAATAACAAATTCAACCTAGGTACGACGACAGTGACACAGATAAGACAAATGATCATAAACGTAATCTTATCGAATCGTTATCGTGGACTTTTCGAATCCTAAAATATTTCACTAGTTTCACATAATTGGTACATAGCTKGTATAAAATATTTAAAGACGAAAACGTTTATACTATATATTTTTTCGCTCTATATGTTTTCGCTCATATTTTTATTCGCTAATTTTGTATTCGCTCTTTTTTATTCGCTCATTTACGTTCGCTCTTTTTCTTTCGCTCATTTGTCGGGATACCCATAAAAATAACTCTTCATTTGGAATGCTATAATAAATGAAAATCTACAAAAATAAACCTACAAATCTCTTTAGACGTACAGACAAATTATTTATGAAAATTTGTGTAAGTCCAATATTTTGTAAGAAATAAAATTTTCTTTGATACCATCAGTAAGACACTAGGACAATTTAATGTTTAAGATATTTATTCATTTAAAAATATAATAATTGGGGAATGGATTTGAATGCAAATTGTATTTCTTTCTTAAGTCTGAAAACATTGCTTTCCAAGCATAAAATCACAAAAGCACAAAGTTCGTTTCATGTATCAAGGAATTAAAAAATGTAACTTTGATTTTGCATTTTTATAGTGCATTTTATGTTTTAAAGTAATTTTTGTATAAAAATGGATAATATTTGATAAAAATTTAGTTAAAATTCATTCTAAGAGAATAAAATAAAACATTATTTATTTTGTGTTTTACTTTTATTTTTATTAATTATTATGTTTTAACAACAAAATTTTTTGGGTAAAAATAATATAGAAGACAATAACTAATAATAATAAAAACCTATATAAAACAAAATATATTTTTTAATGTTAAAAATTTCTGTGACGAGTGGATTAAACTAAACTTTCTTTTTTAAACCACTTTTCTAGTTTTTGAGTATTAAAATCTGTTCCCTAGTTATAATATTACTTACTTGATACTCTATAATAATAATAATATTGTTTTATTTAATCTTTCCATTCACTGTGAATATCCATAAGACTTCTGGCTATGATTTTTATTGGTTATTTTTTGCCATTGTGTACATTTGATTTATTTAAAATTGTTAACAAATAATCTTTCTAGCCAGAACACATAAAATCTGATATCAATGTGAGAAACTTAAGTTTCTTTAGTCATTTTTATTTTTATATTCATTAATCGTTATATTTTATTTTCATTTATAAAATCTACTATTGATTTATTATTTATTATTGATTGAAACCAGAAAGGGTTTTTAGTATTATAAATGTTATAATTATTTATAACTGTGAGTAATGTTCTTTTTCATTTATTCTAACTTTTATTATTTTAATATATTCAATAACTACACACAAATATTACCTAGCACACAAAATTATCTATATTTCATAAACTGCTATAACACTTCATATAATATACTCATTCTTTTTTTCACAGTGGTAGAGTAAGTTTAAATTGATGTAGTTACAATAATTTATAAAGATTTTAATGGTATTTGCAAACACAATTGCCAAAATATATTATTGTAGGCACATTACAATTGTCAAATACATTAGTTTATGTTTTATATATTTATTCATCAAATATATTGTGAGTAAACAAGGCACGTAAATAGGAATTAGAGTATGTCATACGACTATGACGATAACATTATCACAAATACGACAAAGACAACAATATAATTACAAGTATCTGATGTGCCCGTACATGCAACCAAAATTATTAAATATAATTAATAATCGATGAGACGACATCAGGATTGACATTACTGTTCGACGGCTGCGTTGGCTGCGATACTTGGACTGTTGATCACCTCGCCCAGACACTCCAACAGCTCCTTTCGGTAGTCATCAAAGTCACCATCCACTTCATTGATGGTCTGGTCTTCGATAACCCATAGTGTGCATTCTGTGTCACGGATCAGCCGTTCGTCGTGAGATACAATTATGACACCTTCATCACAAACATAAACATAATAAAATATGATGAAATTGAGCGTTTCGGCTGAAGCGGAATCAATAAATTATCAATATAATATCACTCACCTCCTTTGTAATCATTTATTGCTTCTGCTAGAGCGTCAATAGATTCAATGTCCAAGTTATTTGTAGGCTCGTCCTGTAACAATTTAAAAAGGATTAGCAACATTCATGATAAAAATATGCTATACATATCTATTAGTTGAATAAGTGGCATCATTTAGCATTGTCAACTAATAACCATTGAAATGTCAACAACAAATTTTTGTTAGATAGTGTTTGAATGCATTGGTAGGTATAGTAATATTTATTTTTTAGAAGAAATATTATGTCATAAAAAATGGATTTAATTATTGATGACAATTATGATTTTTGATTAGAATTTTAAATTATGTTACATCATCCGGTAATATAAGATAATAAAAAAAAATAAAAAATCGATTTCAAATTTTAAAATTGTTCTACTACGTACAAAATATTTTGTATATGTACAGATTATTTTTTTTCAATAATTTCTTCCCAATATTATTCATCATTTTCTCCATCAACTTTTGGGCTAGGGGGTGCTTGAAGTATAACTCATGATTTTATCCTGAGTTGAATACTGCGTTACCACAAGACTTACCAGTATAATGACGTCTGGAGCGTTCAGACAGAGTTCAGCTAGTGCGACACGGGCCTTTTGCCCACCGGACAAGTCCTTCATGCGGATAGTGTGTGCGTGACCAGCCAGCCCAAAAGTACCCAGCTGCTTGCGCGCTTTCTCGTACGGAAGGTCGAACAACCGCATCAGATATTCGGCAGGTGTCTCTTCGGCTGTCAAATGTTCACCAGAATGCTGATCGAACTTTCCTAGTTTCTGCGAAAAATGCGTGTGTGGCGATTTATGATTTCTATCAACTTATCAACGAGTGTTTGTGAATATAAATACCATCCGATGATTCATTCGCATTTCACCGTCGCTAGGCTGCAAGTCACCGGTCAAAAGCTTGAGGAACGTCGACTTGCCCACGCCGTTAGGCCCGACAATAGCTACACGGGAGTTGAGGTCAACACCAAAATCGACGTTCTTAAATAACGGCTTTTGAGAGGGATATGCGAAACTCATACCTATGCAATTTAACGAGAAAATTAATATCAATTGATGGCATTTTATCCTTTCATAACAATATTATGTCAGTGAATTAGGTAACTAAAGATGACTTACTGTGTAGACCCAATATAGGTGGCTGTAATGGACTGGGATCGGGGAATGAAAATTTAACGTTGTAGTCTCTGGGCTTTTGTAATAACKGCGTGGGTTCAGCGTTGTCATCATCATCCATACCAGCACTTTTACCCGGTTTGCCCTTGTTCTTTTCCTGTTTACGGGTCAATACTTCTTTTTGTTTTTTTTCCTATAATCACACAATATTTTTATAAGAGATTATCCGCGAGTAGCCAGGTTGACAACTGATATGGAAAACTTACAGCTTGTTTCTTGGATTGACCTTGTTGTTTCATTTCTTTCAGCCGTTTTTCCTGTTTCTCATACTCTTTGATGGTTTCTTTTTTTTTCTGGGAATACATTTTCTTGAACATACTGTAATTACCTTTGTAATAGAACAATCGCTTTTGGTCCAAATGAATGATTTCGTTACACACGTTGTCTAAAAAGCTCTGGTCGTGAGAAACGACTAACAAAGTTTTCTTCCATCCCTGTAAATAACTATCAACACTCTTTTTAACGATAACTATTCAGTAATGTAACACACAGGTAGTAGCTCGATGAACAAAATACCCATGGTGTGTTGGAGCGACGATATTCGTACCAACCATTACGAAGTGACTCACTTGTCTAGCCAAATGACAGCATTCAAATCCAAATGGTTAGTCGGTTCGTCGAGTAACAACAACGTAGGTTCCAAAAACAGGGCCCGGGCAAGGGACACACGCATCCGCCAGCCTCCCGAAAAGTCTTTGGTGGCTCGATCCTGCATGGCCGCGGAGAAACCTAGACCGGCAAGTATGCGCCGAGCTCGTGGTTCAGCTGAGTCAGCTCCGAGCACCTTAAGCTCATCGTATACCTATGTAACGATAAAAAAATGATGTCTTAAAGATACATTATCGCTAAATTATCAAACGCCCACGAATCCCTCCACTTAACCATTACTCACTTCATTTAGTCTTTCAGTTACGTCTTCACCCGCGCCTTTTTCTTGAGCTTCCTCCAGTCTTTTACACTCAGCTAACAGTTCTGTACATCGCGTATCCGCTCTAAGTACGGCCTTAACTGCTGTTGTTTCATCAGCCACTACTTCCTGTTCGCAGTATAGGATGTCAATACCTGGTGGTACGTCAAACAGCCGCTCGGCAATGTGTCTAAGTAGTGTCGTTTTACCATGCCTGTGTAATAAATTGACGGAACGACATTGTAATTAGATTAAGGGGAAGAAATATTAATATATAAACTAATATAGTCAAAACAGTAAAAGTGAAGGTGCAACAGATGGTGTTGTGTTAGGTGAACATTATAAGTTCAGTACTCACCCGTTTGGTCCAACCAAACCGTACCGACGGCCGTGGGCAATCAGCAAGCTGGCGTTGACGAACAAGTCCTGACCCTTGGCCGCGATGCTAAAGCTATCGATCTTGATGTCAACGGCGTGCTCCATGGCCGCTAGCTGACCTGCTGTTTTTTGAATTTGTGACACCGAGAAGTTGGCACCCAACTCACTGTGGCCTTGACCCCCTTTTTTGGTCATCAAATCCATTTGTTTCTGATACTCCATCTTGAAAAAAACAAACGATACGGTAATCACAAATTGAAACATGTCCAGCGATTATTTATAACTAGAGTTAGGATGTTGATGATTTTTGTATATTTTTCCTTTGATATTATATAATGCTATCTTAGCATAAAATTTGTTTCAAGCTCCCTTGATTTGGAATTTTATTTTGCTTTTTGGGTATTTTAAGCTACAAAATACATTATTTTTTAACGTCATTTTTTTCATATTTTAGGTAGGTAATTTTTTTTTTGATCGCCGTTATTACTGTTAGAGTGATATATATTGAAAAAACAAGTGCCCTTTCAGACATATGCCGATTATACTCGCATATTGAGTATCATATTTATAAATAATATGTAATAAATCCAAAAAAATCATATTTTAAATTACTCTGATGCCATTTATCACACTCATTTCTAATAAAATTATTATTTATAAATATGTTTTTTTTACTTATTTAATTAGATTTTTCAGGGATGGAAAACGTTTTTAATTTTTTCGTTTTCTATAATTGATTTAAAAAATATCGTTTTTGTATAACGTTTTAAAATAACGTTCTTGACAATTACGTTTTTGATTAACGTTTATAAAAACGTTATATTTCTATATTGTTTCCGTATAACGTTTTTTATAGTTTTTTTTTTTTTGATATTATTATACCTAACATATGATAGCAAACTTAAAAGTTAAAATGAATTATTCTTAATATTAAATCAAAATTATAATTTATAATTTATACAAAAATTAGAAAATTCAAAATTTTAAATTAAAATATTTTTATTTTTTAAAAAGTGCATTGGTAAAGAACTAAAGAGTAAGTAAATACTGAATAAGTAAAGTAGAACACTATTTCAGATACCTAGAAGGATACCTAAATAATAAAAATAATCCAAACCTCAGAAGTTTAACATTTGATTGTATAAAATATAAATAATAAAAATAAAATATAAAATACATCTAAGAATCAAAATAAAAAATGTGCACTAACGCATTGAAACAAAAATAATAACTTAATACATAACATATATTTTTTTCGCAGTATAATTACAGTATAATAATTGCATAATGTATTTTCGTTTTTAGTTTTTTTTTTTAGTTTAATAACGTTTTTAAAGTTTCTATTCCTGGATTTTTAGATGATTTAAGTTAATTTTTTTAAGTTGTTAGGGAATTTTTGCATTTTTTAATTTATTTTGTGTGTTTTTTAGGTCATCAACATCCTGACTGTATTTATAACTATTAAAATATTATTATGTGTACCTCTTTTTTCATTTTTTTCTTCTCTTTATGTGACAATTTATCCGATTTGTTTACGACTTTAGATTTTGACTTTTCTTTGGGTACTTTTACAATCTCCGAGACAGTCTCGTCTAGAAGTTGGCCTAATTAAAATTTACAAGTTATTAAAGCACATTATTGCATTTTAATATACACAATTATACACTATAATGCAATACAGTGGTAAAATTACATACCCATATTACCGTCGTTTTTGCCATCAGCAATAATGGACATCACCACTGCATCCTCGGCTTCAGCTACAACATTAGCATACTGTTCAACGGGGATATCCTTATTTTCGATACTACATTTTGCTTCCAAATCAACTTCTTCGGTATTAATAGCAGACCTATTGCTCTCATTGTCATCCACCGTCACTAGAATTACATTAATATAATTATATAAATGAATAATAATGATCTGATAGTGATGGTTCTGTCTATATAGAATTTTGACTTATTAGGTAATAAACATAAAAATACAAACCATCAACTGTCGGCGTCTCCATAAGGATGTTATCATCTTCATTTGTCTTCTTTTTGTTTTTTTTCGATTTCTTTTTTTTTCCTGCGAGCTTTGCAGCTTCCAGCTCCTCGTCTATATCAACGCTATCTTCATCACCTAAATCTTGATCTATAACAGAAATACTGACACAATGAGTAGACATTCAAAACATTCTGAATAACTACAGTAGATAACATCACATTATACTATCATACTGAACAGTATGGAATTCCGGTAAGGAAACAAAGGAAGCACACCAACAATAATAAGAATTTCATAAAATGATTTGTAGGAGTTTTTGTTTTTGAGGTGAATAAAACAATGAGAACACGGTTAGACATCTACTACTTCAACAAAGCAAAATTATTAAGATCAGTTAATGAAAAAGTACTAAAGTAGTAAGATAAACTAAAGAAAACTATAAGTTATTACAAGTGTTAAGAGGACGCTACACTTGCATGTGTTGTCTCCGTCTTACAAATGCGTTACATGGCAAATTGTACGCTCAGCAAATCATGTTTAGCTCCATTAGCTTAAAATTTAGAGTAAATTGATCTCTTATAAAAATTAAAGGTAACATTATTATCTAGGGCTTCTTCATAAGCTTTTTATTATATTTTAATTTTAAAGCAAGTTATGAGTGTTTTAAGATATACAAGCAATTTACAATTTGAAAATACTCATAATTCATTTTAAAATTAAAATATAACAAAAAATTTATGAAAAGCTTTATATAATGTTACCTTTAATTTTTATAAGAGATCAATTTTGCTATGTTATGCACTTGTAAGATGGAGACAACACGTGAGGGTGTAGCTCTTCTAAACCGTTGAGAATATATATAAGAAACTAAATAGTATTTGAACTTGACTCAAAATTTTTGTTTAAGTATTATATAACATTCATATAATTCATATAAATTATTACAATATATTATTATTCATCTTGTAATTATTTTTCCATATTATTCTATTTTAATGCAAATTTTTTTTTTTGTTGTTGTTCAACAACTCTATATCACCAACAGCATTTCGCTTAAAATAGGTAGATATTAATTTACTGTGATTATTTTAATATCATGTCAAATTATATTTTGTCAATAAAAAAAAAATATATATATATATACAAGCATAATGATGAAATAACAGGTAAGCATAGACTAGGTATGGGTAGCATTACCTGGTATAACCGTTGGTACACTGATGTCTTCATGATCGGCGGTGATGTTTTCGACTTGCTCTTTATTGTTTTCTACTACTGTCAGATGATCGTCGGTATTGGCAGCTTGTTCTACAACGTAATCTGAAAATTTATTTTCATCACTAATTCTAACAATGGCATCTTCAACTATAACAACACACCATGGCTTTCAGTAATACCTATTTATATAGACCTCATTACTATATATCACAGTGATACCCAACCCTTTTTCTTAGGTGGCCAAATTAGTAAAAATTGCCTTCATGCAGGCCATCAATAAAATAATTATATAAATTTAATATTTCGGGAATTAGTTATTACTTTATTAGTATGTCTATATCATGTAATTTTTACCTATATACATTTAACATTGCACACTTTAGAATGAAACATCTTCTTTTTAAAATATTTCATACTGATAATTTAAAGAAAATTTTATTTTAATAAAATATTATATTTTAATAAAGATTAGAAAATCATATTTTCAATTAATCAGCAATAAGATTGATATTTACTCCGATAGAAACATAAAATAATTATTTTAACATGTAAGATATAACATAATAATTTTACTACTCACAGTTGAATAATTGAAATAATATTTTGGTAAAAAATGACTGATATAAAATAAAAATTTAATAGTGATTGTAAGCATTCTAACATTAGATGGTGTTTAAGTGGCGCATAAATAATTATTTCATTAAAAAAATGGAAAATACAGTGGAACTTTGATAACTCGAATTAGTTGGGGGAGGAAAAAAATTTGAGTTGTAGAAAATTCGACTTATGGATGTTCAAGTTATTGAGGTTCCATTGTATATTATAAGGCAAGGGCCAAGGCATTCTTCCGAGTTATCAAAAATTTGACTTATAGAGGTTTCACTGTATATTTTTCTTGTATGTAGAGAAATAGTCTCGGTATTTAAGGAATTCAACATTAAAAGGTAATATGAATCAGAACAACAATGAAAATTTGAAATCTTAAAAGGTATGTTTACATCTATTAATTTAAAAATATTTTCACATAAGTAAAAAAAAATGAAATTTTTGGAAATAATTTTTTCAACACAAAGACAGGTTGAAAGCTAATTCTAATGCTTTGTCAGTCTACATGATGAGCATCACTAAATTCTAACATTTAACTCCCCTCACGTTTAAAATAAAAATTGTTAAAACTACCATTATTAATACATTGGTACTAAGCGAAAAAATAATATACATGATAGGAAAAATTAAGTTCACATTCTTATGTATGTTGTCTCTCTTAAACACGTACAACATAACAAATTTTGGTTCATTAGTTTCAATAACATATTATGGCAATTTAAAAATGTAATAATATTAATAAAAGCCCATGTGAGGCCCTAGATAATAATCTTACCTTTAAATGTATAATAGGTCAATTAACTCAAATATCAAAACTATTGAAACTGGTGGACCAAAATTTGTTGTTGTTTGTGTGTTAGAGAGAGACAACATATGAAGATATGGTGTCTTTTTAAAAAAACATTATGAATAGTCCTTGTATAATTATTTAATAATGCTTTATAAGTTATAACTAACCCTGTGTGCCATTATCATCTTCTTCCAAATCAAAATCTTTCTTTTTCCTTTTATTTTTTTTTGAAATTTTTCCTGTTGGAATCTTTGACCGTTTATCGTCCGTGACTTCTTCAGTGGGTGGAATTGAAACCACAGGCAAAATGTTAACATCTTCATCATCATTATCAAAATCAATATCATTATCAACTAAAAACAAATAAAATCAAATAATTACATTATTATGATGATAAAAGAATAACTAAAAGGCAATTAATTCAAACTTTTAAACATGCTTAACTTAACTAAAAAAAAAAAATAATACAAAAATATTTTGTTTTGTTTTTATATTAATTTTTAAATTCACATAACTCATTTTTGACACATAGTCACTCAACAGCACGATTTTAAACACAATGATCCACGGCAAAGACAACCATTGTCACTATTTGTAATGCTTTCAATTTATAGCTGTAGTTTTAAGTGAAACCATCTAAATTTCTTGATGTGTTTCCATTATCAGTGCTATTGAGTGGCAATGCATGACTAAAGATAAGACTTTAAATAATATTATAGCAACAATGTTAGGTATACCTGCAGAGTCTTCCTCCAAATCTTGTTGTTGATTTTTATTTTTTTTCTTGTTCTTTTTTGAGATCTTATTTCCACGAATTGGCTGTGGGATTTCTTCAACATCGTCAAAATCATCATCTTTTAATTTTGTGTTTGCCAATAAATCAACTAAATCTGTACATTAACAAAAACAAAAGTACTATTAAAATGCATTTATTTTATATTGTGATACCGCCTATGCATTATAAAATAAATATATTTTTGTAATTTTTGATTTTTCTATGCTCAAAAATTATTAATTCAAATTATTGAGCTAAACTGAGATTCTTAAATCATTAAACAATATCATAATAATAAAGTTAGCAAATTTGTATTCAGTACAAAACAATAAAATCAGTTTAAAATCTAAACTAATCATTGTTACCCTTTATTCAAAAAATATAACTTTTCAGTTTAAAAATAATAGCTATGTATAGTTAGATAATATAATATTAATTTTTGTAATCTAAATGAAAAAATAAAAATGTATTATCAATAGTAATTCTTTGGTTGATAAAATCACATTTGATTTAGTTAACTTGTAAGCTTTAGATTATTACATATGAAAAGTAAAACTGTAATAAGCTGATCACTTAATCAATATATTTACCTTCAGATTCTTCATMCCAATCTTGATTTTTATTTTTMTTTTTGTTTTTTTTAGAAATTTTATTCCCACGATTGGGTTGAGACGACTCATGGATAGTTGCAACATCATTTACTGTTGAGGCGGCTACAATATCTACTAAATCTATATAATTAAGATTAATATAATGATTTTGGCAGTAGTTTTTAATCACAGATATTTAACTAAGTATCTACTTATATATTTTGATGAATAAAACTTCAGAAAAAATATCAAACTACATATTAAAATATATTATTTACATTCCAGAAAATTATTATTAGGGCACAAATGTTGTATCATTTGCTACTTTTTTCTAATGTTATTGCTAAGTAAGTTATAAATGTGTTTCATGTAAGTACAAATTAAAATATACAATTTTTAAGTTGAATTTTGTTGAGTTCACTAATTTATAAAACAATTTAATATATTTTTCAAATTTTATCATGTTGTTATACATTTGTTTCCATTGTGTATTGCTACGAATTGAGAACGTTTGAATATGAAAATTTAAAACAAACACTCTTATGGTCTAACTCAATTATGTTTAACAGGATATCAYAGCAAATTTAATCTTATCAATAATGATTATAATAGTAAGAATTTCTAAAATTAGAATGAAATTACCTCTTAATATATTTTACGGTATTATTATTATAAGTAGGGAATTTCATAGGATTTTTATCACATTTTAATTTTAAAGCAAATTATTGTTATTTTATGATGTACAAGCAATCTACAATTTTTTAAAGGATACAAAAATTAAAATTAAAGATATATATATTATAATTTAAATATTAACATAGACAAACGAGAGATGAAAATAATTGAAAAATGATTTTATTGTGTACCTATATTGTGAACAGTAGAGTAAATATTAAATCAAATGATAATTATAATTATATTTATTATTAATTATTTAATGATCGTGAATTAAACAGATTCAAAATTAAATGTTGTTATTCTTAAGCGCAATTTTCTGTATTTTTTTTAGCACAACCCTCTAATCAATTTTAATGGTTTTTACTACTACAATATCAGTTCCTTATTATACACAAATACAATACTTAAATATACAATATGGACAATATTAAGAAGCTGACATTATTTGATTAGAATAACTTTAGTCAGGAGCTCAAAAATTATCACTGCATGTCATGCTACAAGCACAGTTTTTCTAAAGCCGCGTACACACTTGTAACACTAGCGCGTAACATCCTTTGATGCGACTCAATTTACCGACAACTGGTGGAACGGTGTTACGGCGTTACAGCGTAACAGAAAATGTTACAAGTGTGTACGCGGCTTAAAGTGGTTATCAAATACCAAGGTCACCATATATATGACAATTACAAGCATCATAACAGTGTAATGTTGACTGTTGAGTATCAACTAGCTACTACAACAAGGGGTATGAACAACGGGTCCCAGCCAATGTTCATTTTTGTGTTACCGACTTCAATTTTTAGAATTTACATTTATACAAGTTTCATAAAAAAATAACAAATTATCAGATGACTGATTCAATGGTTCGAAATAAGCTTTTAATAGTATATTGGTGGTATTTACCTAAACTAAAAAATGATTGCAAATACATTTACGAATGTATTAGCTTTAAAAATATATGCAGTATAATTTAAGGTTAAGCAAAGTAAGTAGTCTTGAAAATATTTTGGAAGTCAAGATGACCCAGAAGAACACTATTTTGCAGTGTAAGATTTCAAACACAATAAATTAAAACATAAAATAATATACCTTCAGATTCATCTTCCCAATCTTGATTTTTGTTCTTTTTTTTGTTTTTTTTAGAAGTCTTATTACCACGGGTAGGTTGCACAGGTTCTTCAACTGTTGCATCATCATTTATTTTGGCAGCAGCTAATATATCTAATAAATCCGAACATTAATAAATATGATTGGTACATTTTTGAAAGAAGTTTAAAAAAACTACACAAACACTTTCATTTCAATTTAGTAAATACCTAATTTAATTGAAATCAAAAAGAAATGTGTGCCATTGAAAGTKTACAACGGTCAGAACAAAAGTGTTCCTCAACACAATATGCAATAGATAGGCTGTCACACCATAATTCCTAATAATTTCAACAATACTGACACGGTAATTTGGAGCATCTGTTATTTTTCTGTGTCATTCTTTCCCGACAGGAACGGTAACTATAGCTGTGGGAAATACATAGGTATGCGAAACCGCAAATGTAATTAACTCACCAATCGAATCGTCGTCGTCGCCAGACCAATCCTGATTGTGTTTGTTAGTTTTCTTCGACTTCTTAGGCGGCATGATCAGGAACAAATARAAAAACTACCAAGTGTGTACAAAAATTCGGAAACGCGACGGGAATTACGACGGAAAGTCGGCAACTGGAAAAGTCACGCACGGTGGTCGGCGGAGTGGCGAAGGCTTACCTCTCTAATCGGCAGTCGGCACGTGAAATCAAAAACACGTTATGTCGTCATCAGAGATAAGGTGATAAGTGATAACACCGACGAGATTACAACGATGTGACGGATAATGTCCGCCGGCGAAATATTCAGTCGTGCACAATCGGACTAGGTGGTTGTCACACTGCGATTGCGTCGTACTATAACCGCCATGTTATTGTTGTTTTTATTATCTATTATCAATTTATCACCGAGACGCAGACTCTTACGCGCACAAAAACGCTGTTTATCATCATAATAACAATCCGGACGGTAGCAATTACGGCTGGGATCGGCGTTTCCGTCGGTAAAACTTGGGAAATAAATAGGAATTCGATTGACGCGTGCGTGCAAACAGCCCGTCGGACGAACGAACGGTTTTCACTGTCGACAAACGAAACGATGTCGTCGCGCTCAGGTTCATCCCTGGGAGGCGGCAGTGGCGGAGGTTTATCCGCCGGCCATCATAAGCTAGCCGAGAAGCTGAGCTTGATCAACGACCGGGGTGTGGGCATGCTCACACGGATCTACAACATCAAGAAGGTACGTGACCGTCTTTTGTATTCGCTCCTGTGCATGTGCTGTTATTTTGCTTTCACTATGAAGGCGGCGGTGTTGAGACCAGTAGAGTTAGAAATGTTAGAATTGCCATATCTTAATTAATTATGATAAAAGAATAGGTACCTATATGTTTTTGWGTATATCTGATTTAAAAACCGTTGACGTTTCACATTTTTTCAACGTTTATTTTCATACGCTAAATACATAGTTATCTTGTCCAATACATAAACTAAAACTCCTTTATTGGTAGGTTTAACTGAGTAGGTATTTTGAACGAAGAAATAAGCTTATGAGCTCAGAGATGACTCAAATACAATATGTTCTGATTTATTTATTGTTTCTCCTTTTTTAAATACTAACATTGTACCTAATACCTATAAATACTTAAAATGTTTAAAATCTCACTAATAATATTTGTATATTTTAGATTGTGCATATTCATAAAAATCCAATAAACCTAATCTTTGACTATGAAATAGCCAAAGATTATTTTGTTTATTTTTTAAGTGTTTATTTAGGTTAAAAAAATGCGTATAGATTTTTAAATGAATGAAAGTGAATCTCTGCTATTGTTTTAAAAAAAATCTACACTGTAGATACACCAAAGTTAGTCTTTCATTTTATTAGGAATTTGTCATTTGTTGTTGATCAAATGTAAATATTTTCAATCAAATTTGAAATCTGGGTAAGAACATTATCTGTCTTTTTTTAGGATGTATTAAATTTTAAATTTGTTGGATATGCGCATTTTCTAATTATTCTTCACACACCTCATTACAAAATCGTAAGAAAAACCAATAAAAGAACACAAATAATGTTCCTACCTAAAAGTTTTATAATGGGACAATTCACTCTAATACCAAAATTAACAACATACTATTGAAACTAGTGAACAGAAATTTGCTAAGTAGTAGGGTTGGKTAAGATAGCCTTTAAGACAGTGACAACTCATGCGGGTGTGCTGTCTTCTTAAGTATAATTCTTAACACTATTTTTATGACAGGCATGTGGTGATGCCAAATCCAAGCCAGCGTTCCTGTCTGACAAAACACTTGAGTCTGCAATTAAATATATTGTGCGCAGGTTTCCCAATGTAGACATCAAAGGTGTAAGTATTTTTATTATATAATAGTAATAATAAGGCACTGCTTAAACAGTACAAATATTTGATGTTTTAATATTGACTCATTTTTTTGTGGGAATTTTTCAAACTTAAACAGCTTCAGGCCATTACACCCATACGTAGTGATATCATAAAATCATTGTCTTTATACTATTACACGTTTGTCGACCTTCTTGATTTCAAAGATCAGGTGTGTGAACTATTAACTACCATGGATGCATGTCAAGTAAATCTGGATATTGTAAGTTGCATAATATTTTCATTTTTCTTTTTTTACATTAAATTATTACTAMCATTATTTACTTACATCACTAATGTTTGTTGACAATTATCATTTATTTTAATAGACGGTAAATTATGAGCTAACACGAGCCTACCTAGACTTAGTGGCCACATACGTAGCTCTCATGGTTTTATTATCACGTGTTGAAGATCGTAAAGCTGTGTTAGGTTTATTTAATGCTGCACATGAAATGGTACATAATCAGAGGTAATGTATTACTACTGACATATAAAATAAATAGCTTATTCTCACAATCCAGCAATTTAAAACCTTCAGTATCTCTTTATTCATCTTTTAATTTAACTCACAACAAAATATMACAGATAATGCAGTACCTATATTATATTTTGTATTTTTTTGTGTTTTGTAAGTTAATTTTTACTGTTATTTTATGTGATTTTTAGTTATACTTATTGTTAAAGAACTTTTGTCTATTAAATTAAACTTTAACAATTAATCACAGCATGAATATTTCTATACCAGTCCTATGTCATAGTTTTCCAATTTTTGGGTTTTCCACAATATAATAATAATCAAATAATGCCAGCCAATTAGAAATAATATAACCTATAATATAGACGAGAATATGGATGAATAGGGATGTGTATATCAAAAAACCCGTAATTATACTTATATTTTTAGTCATAATTTAGCATTGGTAAAATAGTATTAAGAGGATGCTACATCGACATTTTTTTGTCTCTGTCTTACAAACGAATAACATCGCAAATTTTACCCTCACAATTATATGTTTTACTTTGTAATTTCTAAAACTAGAGTGAATTACCTTTTATGAAATTAAAAAGCAAGAATATTATTTAGGAAATCTTGGAGGATCTTATTGATATTGTTCTTATTTTTAAGCAAGTTATGATCGTTTAAAAATGTACCAATAAAAAAAAACAGTTTAAAAGTTGGTCATACCTTAGGTACTTAAAAATAATAATATCAATAAAATCCTCAAARATGCCCTAGATATTATTTTTACCTTTAAATTTTATGAGAGGTAAATTCACTCTAATTTTACAGAGTGAAATGTGTTAAGTGAACGTATAATTTGCCATGTTTGTCGCTTCCAAGGCGGAGATAATAAATGCTCGTATGGCATCCTCTTAATAAAATTGATTTATATTTACACTGTCCACCTTTTTATTTCCCAATATCAGTATTTTATTAATTTGTTTTACAGTGATCTGAGCTTCCCACGTCTTGGCCAAATGATTGTAGACTATGAACAACCAGTCCGTCGGTTAGCTGATGAATTTGTGCCACATACAAAGCTTTTATCTGGAGCTCTACGTTCCCTTTGGCCAGTGTATGTGCAGCGCAACTTGACAGCAGATAAGTGGAGGTAAAGACAATTTTATCTTTATTAATGCTGTGTTACTTTTCCTCCCTAGACTTGATATATTGTAGATTAATTAAATTATTATCCTAGGTCTGACCAGAAACTCAGTCTAGTAGGTAACCCAGCGCAACTACTGAAACCTTCATCTACAGACACTGTGTCTTGCGAGTATCTATCCTTAGAAACCATGGAACGTTGGATTATATGTAAGTATACATTTTCTATTTTTATTCTTTTGTTTCTCATTGATGTATTCTAGTTTTTATTGGGAATACCTACAATTTAAATTTAAAATGATAAATTGACTAATGTTTTCTTTTGTTTTCTTCTYGACAGTTGGCTTTTTGCTGTGCCATCAGACGTTGCAAATACCACYAAACCAGCAGCAACACAACCAAGATGGCAATGTAGCTCATAAATTGTGGTTAGCTGCACTGGAGTCAAATTGGTCAATTGCCTTGTTTAGAGATGAAACTGTACCGATTCACTCATTCGTTCAGTCATTTTTTGATACATTGAAGGGTTATGGAAAAAGAGTATCTGAAGTTAAAGAGGCACATACACATGCTACACAAAAAGCGTTAGTTTTAATAGTTTCTAATATTGAAAATATCTAATGTAATAATTTATGTAATTCATTATATCACATTTTAGGGTGTACAGACACCGTGAACGTCGTAAGTACTTACGTACGGCACTTAAAGAATTGGCACTAATACTAACCGATCAGCCTGGGTTGTTGGGCCCAAAAGTCCTGCTGGTATTTATTGGGCTAAGCTTAGCCCGAGATGAAGTATGCTGGTTGCTGCGACATGGTGCACCTAATTCTGGAGGTGGTAACAGTCAAAAGGGAACAGGGACAGGTACAGGAGGTACTGGAAAATCTAATTCCAGTGGAAAATCATCCGGTGTAGAAGACCTTTTAGTTGACAGGCAGCTTCCTGAGTTACTGTTTCATATGGAGGAGCTTCGGAGTGAGTTATCAAAATTCTTGCATAAATGTTTTTTTTWAAATATAAACTAAAATAGTAATAAGTAGTACAATTAGTACAATAAATTGTAAGAACAGAACAATTATGACAATAAAAAATATATAATTATTTAATTATCTGGATAAAATATTTTTTTTAAATTACATTAATACTATAAATGTCAAATAAATTTTTAAAAAAGTGGGCATTTGGGTATYGCTCTGCTGTATAGTAGAGATGGAGAAAAGGTCACTATAATGGATATGTTAAATTTGAATCGATGACAAGTATCATTGTATACGAAAAACGATTCTGAACGGAGACGATTTGTCAGTCTAGGATATATTATATTACCTATATTTTTATATGCTCACAAAATGTTTTCTATATTGACTCTGGAGTTTTTTTTACAGTTATTTGAAGAAAAAGTTATGGAGAACCTTGTGTTGGGTTTTTTAATCTTAAGCATAAATCACAACAATTTTATGAATTTTCAACTTCATAATTCTATGCAAATTTTCGCGATTTTGACATATTTCGTAAACATTTGAACTTTAAATGCTTATAAACAAAAATTGTGACTAACGATTTTTAATTTTTCTTTTACTACGATAAGTACAACTTATGATAAACCCTGTATTAAATTTTAAAGATTTTTGGACAGCCAAATTTTTTTTAGGCATTTCAAAAAAAAAAATCGAAAATTTCAATTGTCTCT